CGATCATTTGTTTTCAGTACCGTAAGAATCTATCCTTACCAATAAGTCAGATAGCTTGACAAGTTACAGCTCTCTCGAGAGATATAGAAAATCTCATTTTCAAAACGAGCGGGATATTACTAATTTTTATTGAACTCAGAGGTATCAAAAATTGATGGATAAGGAAAGTTTCAACGACGAAAATATCAACGAAACAGCTACACCGGGATTTGAAGTTTTGAGTTCAGCTTCAAAGTTATCAAAGTGAAAATATAGCCCCAACCAATGAATTAAACAATATACTCGATTATTAAACATACGCAAGGATGGCACCGAAAATGCCCAATTCAGTGACCATTTTTTCAACTTTCGGTTCTTTATGACTAGATGATGAATTCAATATGTGATTTTCAAAGACATACGGACGTATGCGTTCCATTAGGACATAAACTTTTCTTTCATCATGATTTATGATGGATTTCAATTTCTGCACAATATCCACTGTCAGCATGAATAGTAGGAAGAAAACAATTTGTTTACAGTAACATTTATAAATACAAGTACACATTATAATTGATGTAGTGATTGTTTATACTATAAAAAGGAATAATCAAAAATACTTAGATACGAACCAAATCATTTCTTAAAAGTAATTAGTTGTATATGCATTACTGACCACAAATTAAAAGCTGGAAGGTGTGTGTCAAGTCTACAGTGCTTTTTGAAGCGTGTAAATCAAGTTCGTAATGTGAACACAAGGCTACATGACACGTCATAGAGGCGCATTAGTTTTAGTAGATTCAGAAGCCAACCGACAGGAACTTTAAACGTAGGTCTTGTGATTGTTGGTCCTCATCATAAAGACGTAGCAATAACTCTTAGTAAACCTATGATCACTCTTAAGTTGACAAATCGATTGCACAGTTGCGTTTAACAGATAGTCATTTGTAGCCTAGGTAGCACATAATGACAAAACCTGAGAGACACAGGTTTCAATATCTGGGAAAATACAATTTCCTTCTAATTTGTAAACACTTTTCCCCGATAGTTACCAAGAAACACGAAACCTAATGTCGAACAATTCATTGTGTTTGTCGATACTGTCTCAACCAAGACAAAGTGGCCGGGTTGTCAAGCCGTACCACCTATTGGGGTTCAGGTAAACATAAGTGGTACACATTTTTTTTATGCGATAGGTATTATATTTACTTGGGAAGTTAATTAGTTATGCCAAGTGCCCATCTAAGGAAAGAGAGTTAGCTCACAGAACAGGGTATTAACCTACATTTGGTTGCATATTTTTCATAAATAATGACATTGATATGATGTTGCTTGTATTACTTCGTCATTGATTGGACCGAAATGATCAGTCTCTGTTGGCATGTGATAACTTGATAATAATGGTAGATGGTAAGTGGCAGTCGAATCCAGGACGTACGTTTCTTCCTGTTTGGGATTCGTCAACCGGACGTACCTGCCTCTCAATGAGCAACGGTGTTCCCCCTAAGACTCGAACCAAAGACTGGTCACTTCAGACACCAGAGTGTTATCCACTAGGCCAGTAAGTCACGATAGTCACTTCTTGTATGAAGGGTAAAGTTTACACGATGTTGCCTGTGTTATCCCGTTGTTGATCTTGTAAATATTAGCGTGCATATTAATCAATTTTCTGCAGTGAAGTTTCATTTATAGGTTCTAACATCATGTCAGTAGGGGGGATATGCTAAATCCAACTTATGAAGATCTGCACATTAGTTTGCTTATTCGAAAAAAACACTAATCAGTTATTGGTTCTATCCAAAAGCAACCTCATTTGAAAATTTGTTTAACATTAAAATAAAATCAGTAAAATTACTGCCTAGCTGATTAAAGAATTTTTATTCATACATTCATCGACGCAAAAAAGTACTCTACCACAAATGGGAATTTGGGCTTAGATTTCAAAATATTTCCTTCGATCTTCTTTTTACCTTCTTCGATATTATGTAAAAACTCGATGAACAGTTTCATACATAGTTGTCTTTAGAAGTGTTTAAACTTACACATTCTTCGTGTAGATCATGCAGACAAAAAGTGAACATTCACTCTACTGCCATACATTATGAATGCTAAGAAAGTATCACATACATTTTTACACACAAACTCTCATTTTCACAAATTACTTTGAATCATAGTAAAAGCTAAAGAATTAAGCTGTATTCATGGTTGATAAGGCTGTAAAAACATTAATCAAGTGACGCTTAAACTCAGATGATTATGCTGTATAAAAGTTTAAGCTTTATTTTCACCCAAACTGGTCAGTGAATTAATTCACATTTCATTAACCTTTTTATTTCAGCAATAGGAGGATATTGTCAATTCTCGCATAATCAACATAAGTAGCACTCCACTAAAAAGCGTATGCAAATCGTTGCATTAATCAGAGAATTGAAGTTTACACTTCAACTTTAAAAGTATGTAATTGAAAAAAATACCTCCAAATAATTATTTCCTCCGCCTTCTCTTTGTGGTTTTAAAACATAATTTTCAGGCTTGAGCATACAATCACTAATCACCTGTTGAATTTCCGTTGAATTTGATATGCCCATTTCTTCGTCCAAGGTATACTGATTAGTGAAAGTAGACATGATGTTGCGGTAACTTAAACTACCAGGCTGGAAAAATCTAGATAAATATTTCTTTTTAGATAAAGCAGCCTGCACAATTTTTGTGTTGACAAGCAAATATTGAATACATGGACATTTAATGGCTAATGATTGTTCCAGTTGATATTTGACATTCCAAGTCTGTTACGTTATATAAAGAAGAACAAAACAAATATAAAATAAACAAAGATAACTAGTAAAATAATATGACTGTTGAGGAGTCCCATACTAGGACGAAACAGCTATCCAGTGCTCCCAGATTTTCAATGGTTCCCTAACTGATGTCAGTCCATGATGAATAATTCAGTGTCACATCTCTACTTTGGAAACAAGGCTGCATTGCTAAATTTCAAGTGTAGGAAATACCAACTGAGCATGTTGTAGTTTTGATAGTAACAGACTTAGCTTGCGAAACTTAAAATCAGACAATAATAATAATTTCTTTGTTCTGAAAGCGATTTCAGGAATGCTGTACAAAATTTTCAGCATATCATATAGGATCAATGGGACAGGAACAGTTTACATGCATACATAATAAAGTGGAGTATATATATGAAGAGTATTTACTCCATCTACAACCTTTTTGAAAATGCTGAGATAACTTAGGTAAACAGTCACAATAGAAATTAGATTCACAATAGATAAATAACAGTAAGCTGTGTAACCCTTAATAATTTTGATTTAAAAAGCAAGAGTTGATTACTTAGTTCATTCCTAACATTTTCTACAAAGCAAAGGATACGAGCTGAATAAGATATGCTAGAGTTCTCATATTTAGCAGTGCATGCAAATAGTCTTATATACTTGCTCCTGTTTGACGACCAACACACAAAGAGCTATAAGTGAAATGGATGCTGATTACTTGATAAAATAACTCCTATCAGATGCTTATGAGATATTTATCCACAACAGTTACAACTAGAATGTTTAGTGGTACACCATTAGTTTTACTGGCACTCTTCTGCACAATACAAAATAGTCTATCCTCAGCAACCCAGAAGAATAAAGTGAAACAATAAAGAAGAATTGGCAAGATGAAGGAGTTTACAAAAAAACATGACAAGAGGCTGTTATACCAGATACTCTCGGCTTTCTAATGTAGTAAGTTAGGCAGAAGATCCTTCTGAAGATTAGTGAGATATGAAAGGAACAAGAAAGGTCCGAAGAAAAACACGAATTTCGTGAGAATTCCAGAAATCTACTGTCCACAGGTTTTACATCATTGTTGTAAATAATAATTGTCCTCACACAATGATGGACAAATGTGCTATTGAAGCAGTAAAAGCAACCTTGTTTTATAAGAACTGGAATTAACGATTGAGGTAAATCAAACTAAATATATTCCACTGTAATACTGAACCCTTTAAATGATTAGCCAAGTTGTACAGTATGATCAGAGTTTACTGGTAATCAAAAGTTGACATTGCTTGCTTGACAGAGATTATTTTGTCTTACATCTCCAAGAGAAATTGGGTGGTGATAACCACACAGCAATTTGATGAAACAACTCTGTAAACTTGCCACAAGTTTATGTCCCAAGTTGTAAGGCTGAAGTCAGGAGAGTATGGATTAAATGAGAGGCTGACTGCCCACCGAATGAGTCAGTTGGTTAGACTAAACGTGAGAAATGGCATTACTGCACAATAGTGTAATTTGCCACGCCTTATTTCAGTATACAAGATTCAAAGTAGCAAGATAGAAGATACAGAAACAAGTAAGAAAGTAGTCAAAAGTCACAAAAAGACTAGAAAAAGAGGAATAGATAAAACAAGGATTTAGATCCGTACGCCTATTAAGATAATATAAGGATGTATCCGCGCCCTTGAGACCGATTCTAAGGCATACAAACCAAGGTATCCAACACTGATTTCGGTTCTCATCAGGACCCAGACCAGGACATTTCTACACACTGCTCACACCAACACTTAGAGGCTTTATAGAATAATGCAACTGTGGGTCTGGTCACCTTTAAAGTGTTTTCAGCCTAAGCCTACCTCAGCTGATGGTACGTAACGGGTGTATAGCGAAAAGGCACGAATAACATGAGTCCTAATCATCTGAGTCGACGACGTTCACAACCTCATCAACTGACTTTCCTCTTTAATCTAAAGTTCTAGGATTAAATAATGCGTAACTCACGTGGTGGCCGTACGATATATGGTCCATGATACGAAGGAGATAATGAAAGAACATCTAAGGCCTACTCACGTCCTCTTTCTTGAATGACTAAATTCTTCAGCCGTCCAGCAGAAGAGAGCGAACTTTAGCATACTGAGATCGCCCCTCAATAAACAAGCGACTTGATATCACGACGGTGGAACAGACGTCTAGGTTGATAAAAGTCAATTAAACTCTTTGCACTCATACGGAGATTTTATCGGTCACTGAGCTATCAGTGCTGATCTGACATCCGTACTAAGCCAAGTGGTCACCGCGCTAATTAACTGTTTATTGTTGCAAGGGGAAACCGGAACACATCAGATATAAAGTAAAGGCTTGGATTTCGGTGGTGAGAAACGCATTCTCAAAATACTAAAATCTCCCCTGAAGATGATCACTAAAACTCTCAGACACAGATAAATAAAATAGGTGTAGAACCTCTCACACAAGAGAAATGGTTCAAGTTGCTACACTTCACAGTGGAATACAAACTGCAAACAGACAGACAAAGGTGCATGGGATGACAAGGAACTTTAAAAAATTAACGTCAGATAAAACAAAACTTTGAGGACATATCAAGTAGTGGATACGTCGACGACATTGTGACCAATTTTCAAACATGTCACCAACAGTGCTCAACCACTGATTCCTGTCGTCTTAGGCATAGAAGCCAGGTAGTCTACACCTCACTGCACGGCTTCGATCAACAGACAGAGACTTCATGGACTACTAACGCATCTTGATCTGGCCACCCTGCACTCTCTTCCCACCTAATTCAGCTTCCGCTAGGATGCCACGTCGAAGAAGGCAATGGCTCAGCATGTGGATAACCATGGCCATGCCATTTTAGTCGACTAAGGCTCACAATCTCATTAATCAACTGGCCTATTTTGCCTAGTACCCTTCGCCTGACCCCAACATTCCTCACGTGGTGATTCCATCAAACACGAGCAACGCTACAATGCCAACCACCTGACGTTTACTTTTAACGGCCATGTCTCACACCCGTACAACAGGACAGAACGGAGTGCAGCGCAGCATACTCGTCCTTTGATAAATTGTTGGATATTTCTCCAGTCAGTGCCAGAGATGACACAAGTTGGCAAATGTCAAACGGGCCTTCTGTATTTGAGATGAGATTTCGTCAGCAACAAACCTGTGCAGGCTGATAAAACTCCCCAAGTAAGTGAGGTGGTCGACACATCCCACCACTTTACTCCTTATCATTAAAATGGGAGTAGTTGCATATCAGTCCTGGAGTATCATCTTACATCTGACAGGTGCAAAGTGCATGTCGAACATCCTCAGGTTTCTGCTCAAGGTGTTCAGAAGACCCTGGATTTGTCAGCATCTTCACCTAACGGAAGAATATCATCTGCATACTCCAAGTCAACCGAATGACTTCCAGGGAGAGGATAAATCACTGTGAATTCAGAGGTATTCGAGGCTACCTCCATTAGTACGTTTACAACAATGTTGAATAGGAATGGTGATAGTAGGCATCCCTGGTGGACACCACTAGTTGTCGTCAATTCAAATGACCACCCTCCATAAGCCCTTACGAGGCTGCATGAGTTTTAGTAGAGTTTTAATAGGCAGAGACAGCCAAAACAACACACGATCGGGTCGAAAGAGTCAAATACCACCTCCAGATCCATAAGTATGACAATTGTTGGACGTCCATAAGTATGACTGTATTCCAGGACTTGTCGGAGTGAAAATATTACCGATCCACCCTCGTCCAGCTCTGTCTTGAAGCTACCTGGTTTTTTCGAGCTCTGGTTAGACGTCAGATAACTATGAACCCTAGGATCTTGGACATCATATTAGTCAAACTAATTATCCTATATGGTTGTCGCAGGAAGACTTCTCTGCCTTCTTATAGACTGAAAGGATCGGAGAAGTAGACTAGTCTAATGGCACTACCTCTGATTATTATACACTATATAGCACCTCCGTCACTATAAGTGGCGATTTCCTACCTCGATCCTTGAAAATTTCAGGTGGCAAACTATCATGTCCTACTACTTTGCATCTTTTCAGGTTCGATACAGCATTCTGAACCTCGATGAGAGTTGGTGGACCGATACCTACATACCATTCAAGTTCAGACCAAACGTTGAGTAACTGAAGCATTGATGACGCCCAGTCGAACTGTAATTCAAAGTGTTCTGCTCAACGTTCTAGCCACCTGTCCTGAGAGGTTATCAGCGTCCCATCCTTGTTGAAGATGTTTTCACTGACCACAGTATCTTTCTTGCCGGTATCCCTAACTAGCCGTTATCCGTTCACTCAGCTGAGAATCTATGTGGCATTTAAGTGGTTTTCTACCAAACAGTCTAGACATGGACAGATAATATCAACATGGGGCTTCATAACGGTCAAAGCTGCCGTAAATGGCATTTGGTGGTAAAAGTCCAGCGACTCCTGTAAGTTTGTGAAGAGGTTTCGCGGGTTACTGACCCAGTAGAACTGATCCAAATTTTCAGATAACTGTAGTATTCAACGCGCCCAAACATTTCACTCGATACTGTTTAGCAAGATCCTAGAGAACAGAAGTCCTGAGGCAATGAATTCCTAACGATCGCATGGGAACCTGTATCTTGGCAGAATTGTGAGGATGAGAGCATTTACCGGCTGCCAACACCGTTTTAGGTGTAGTAGCCACATCTTCATGAAGTCTAGGTACACCATTTTCTGCGTTTTATCTCCGGTTAGTCAAAATTTGTATCTTTATAAGAATTTACCCAAACGAAGCTAGAATAGCAATATAATTAATCCACTTATGTTGCCAAATATAATTTTGTTGACATCTTTAATATAGGATCTAGTGTAGCTACCTCTCGATTCCAGCTGCCAAGCTTCAGAACAAAATCAAGGTGGAAGTTAGTTTGAAAAAGATAGAAGCGAAAATAATAATATAAGAAGACGTAAAACTTTCAAGGCATGCAGAGAGATGGATAAACAGATTTATAGTTTTACGATTAAAACCAATGCATCAATATTCATTTCATCGGTGCGGTAAGATTGATGGTGAAACGTCTGAACACAAGTATCAAAACGGTGGAGAACGTCGCACAATTTTCATCTTCAGCAACAAATCTCCACTATCGCAGACAGTTTTTTTTCGACGTCATGCCTGAGTACTGACGAGCAAAAATAAACCCAAAAATAAGAAACTAAGACAACATTTTCAAGCTTATGAGCATTTAGAAACACTAAATTTATTGCTAAGAAATTATGGAACACTGAGTGAGTAACCTACCTTTCATGAAAATAACAACAAAATGATTTACTGCAAAGATAAGACAGGAAAGCCACCACACTCACTTCATCATCAGGAAAAGCACCTGGAGTATAACCAGTCCTGTAGTAAACAACAGCTATTTCTTCGTTGTCTCTAGAAAATGTAAAATATGTGAAAAGATATCTGAATGTAATCAAAAATAAGTAAGGAAAAAAGCACGAAGAAAAACTCACTTGATATAACTAACTAGTCAACACAGCTTCAAACACAACACTTTGTCGTTCTAAATTATTGCTACATTTAATACGATGAAAAAAAGATAGAAATGAATAACAAGAGATTGATAAAACAGATGCATAGGTAGTACTACCTTAAAAGAAGGAAAGTAAGATTAATGACTGATTGCCTTCAAACCTTAATTCCCAGTTATGGTTACAAAAATGACCTTGTGAGCACAACATTCACTTCTAGACCGCATGAACGATAAAAACCTGAGTTCGCATCAAATTGAGAATTGTAAGATAGTGAGCAAAGAAGCTACACAACGTTATATGGACCAGTTTTGTAGTTTAAAATTACTAACCAGTTACTCAAGGCGCTACATCTATCTAATCGTCAAATTCATGCAATAGTATTACATTTCTATTTAGTTTGCTTGATGTATATTCCCGATTACTTCATATCAACACATGGGGATAGAAAGATATCCAATATTTATAACATTATATCTGTTATCTAGATCCACGGTAAATGAAGGCCTTGGAGAGCAACATAAATCTGCTATTTCGAAACTTAACCCTAAGCCTTATACTGGTCACTACTCTAGTTTTATTGAACACTAACAATTTTGTGAAGGTCAAGTACTAATCTTCAATGCACAATAGTATGCATTCGCGATACCACAGGTGTAGGGAATTCAAAAACTCCGTTATAATTTCAGTATCTATGCAAGAATAATATAAGCAGTTAGCTTATCAGAACTAATGGGAGTGAAAAAGAAATGCATACGATAAAATAGTATAGTGTTAGTAAGTTTCGACTAGATCCAAACTATTTAGAGACCTTGAGAAAAGCAAGAATAACAAATTGGGCAGAACAACACGAAATCACTTTATTTCGTGAAGTCCTCCTTAGCTCCTTACAACCTATAACATTCGTTATGGAATCACAATAGGATTTTAGCAGACATGAGTTTCTCAACAAGAATTCACTCAGTAGAGAAGTCCAACTTGTAATGCACAGTAAGACTAGAAGTAAAATGAATAAAAAGGAAGATGATAAGCGTTGTCGGGTTTGTATATTTATATATGTTATTAATAACAACACCCTCGAGAAACTGAAATTTTCAGTGGCTGGAACAACAAAAATGTAGAGTTTACAAAAATATTACGTAAATAAATTCATTAAACTGATGAATTAGTAATAACTGAAGACAAAGTTTAATAAACAATCTAACGAAGAACATTAATGTCATTCTTCTTTGAGGCTTCAATTCAGTGTACTTGTCATTATTTTTTTTCGTAGAAAGCTCCTTTAATTTCTTTGCGACAGGTTCTTTCCTTATTGATTGTGTTATGTTTTCCATTGAATAATCAGTACGGAATGTAGTCGTCCAGAATTAAACTGACTTCGTGTTTTTACTTTTTCCATCATAATCACATCACAACCTTTATCTGGCATGAGAATGACGACAGTTTCATTATTCATTGAATTTCTAAAGGCTGTTAAGTGGTATTTCGACAAAACTGTTGACTGTGGGTGTAAGATGTACTGATTAGCAATATCAACAAATCAGGATTTTAATCAAACCATTGGTTTCAACTTAGAGGGTTGACGGTATACGTTCTCAATCTTATTAATGAATTTTTTGGGAATGCTAAGACTGGATCCATGACAAAGCGCTTCCACTTCAAGTAGACTCAAGTTCAAACCTGAGAAGTTGCATGTAAAATTGTCAACGTCCTCAGGGATCTCGTTACATAGTTGTTCCATTATCAGAAAGTCAGATACGGTTTTGTCTATATGAAATTTTTGTTTGTACCTGTTGAATGAAGCTGATGAACTTGATTCTACAAACTCTGCTTATTTCTTTGGTAACTTTGTCAAACCTTAAGGAGTCGGCCCTCAGTTTAGAAATGATATTTGGAATTTTGCAACGTGTTAAAAATCCTTTGATGATTGTGGTCATTCGCAAAGATGTACATATTTGTGGAAGTGAAGCGGAAAACAGCGTATCTTCAAGTACTTTTCATAAAACTTAAGACTAGTCAATTCTCTTGATAATCTGTACAGGATTTTCACCAAATCATCTAGCCAATTGAAACATTGAAGAAAGGCGACTTTATAAAAAGTTCATGTAGTTCTTCCCATTCATCAAATTTAATAAAATAACTGAAGCAGAATAGTATAGGCTTATCTTTATGCTAACTCAAATCTATTTTGTTAATTTGTACGTGGCAAAAGCACATTGGAAAAAGAGTTCTTGTTCAGAGTTCCACCCATATCCCTAAGAACTGGTATGCATTACTCCACCTCTGATACCTCCCGTTTTTATGAATAGTTTCTTGTCAACTTGATAAAAGTGTATGAATTTTTATTGTAGTGTATACATTTTGATATTGTTTGGATTGTAAGCAGCCAAGGGGAATTCGTGAAATAACGATGAGCTCATATTATTCCACTGTAATTGTTCTTCCTCTCTCCATCTTCATAAGTGGAAAGAACTACTTGAAATGTGATTGAACTATGCCTAACGTCTGAATTACAAGTAGTACAGCAAGTATAATTTATTCTACACTGCATTTTTGGCGGTCTCATTAGCTTCTGTAGAAATCGAAGAGTACATCTAATAGTTTAGTGTTTGCATAACGACTATTTGTAGTATCCGTTAGTGGAAAACTAACTAACCTCTTAGTTAGGTTTTTACCTCAGATATCCCCAAGAACACTAATATCAATTAATAAAGTAACTACAACTAAGCAACCATGTCTAGGCTTGTGAAGTAGATAAGTATCCACACTCCTTGTGTGAGGACCGATGGTACTATCTGGCTGCCCAAACCTCGGTACTCGGAATGGGAACCGAAGTGTAAATGCTTAGACCAGTGAACCAAAGCTCCATAATAATAACAATCAAGTTTAAACACTATCTGACTAACGGTCAAAGAATACCGAACAGATGTAAACCCAACTTACAAACTGCACCATCTAACAGTCATGTAATTATTCCCTTCCGACCTGTATCCAAAGAATATTTTCCTCCATTTATACAATGATGGTTTGCAATAACGGAAACAGCTTATCCGTAAGCATACAACCTGACAGAAACTGTGCCTCTGACTTAACAAAAGGTAGTAAGAAATACTGGAAGAAAGGAGTGATACGATGTAAGTGCAGCACAGAGTATTAGTACATAAAAAGCATTTGCACTACTCATGTATACATCCAGTAGTAATGTTTAAACTACCTAACACCAGAAACAACAGTATTTATACTGGGTGAAATGAAAATTTGGACCGCGGCCGGATTCGAACCAGCGACCACTGAGTTTTCAGCCCGATGCTCCACCAACTGAGCTACGAGATCCGACTACTGGCCAGATTATTTCACTTCAATCATCAAGAGTCTTGCCTAACTACCATATGAATTCGTGACGCATTACCACCGCTTGATCGTATTCACACCGGCTGCCTAGTCAGGACTTCTCATCCCAACCCATATCTAACTGAATTAGAGGAGGATCACATTGATTATCATTTGACTATCTGACTAGGCAGCCAGTGTGAATACGATCAGGCGGTAGTAACGTGTCACAAATTCACATGGTAGTCGGGGAAAACTCTTGATGATTGAAGTGAAATAAAAACCTGGTCACCAGTCGGATTCTTGTAGCTCAGTTGGTAGAGCATCGGGTCGGAAACTTGGTGGTCTCTGGTTCGAATCCAGCCGCGGTTCAAATTTTCATTTCACCTTCAATCATCACCCAGTATAAATACTAGTCTACCGAACTACGACTATCTCAGACAATCAAATGATAAACAACAATATTTATTGAAAATTCTGTATTTTCTCACATTAGGTAAACAATAAGATGAGTTTATCTGCATACTTCAAGTGAACGACTTAAATAAACCTTATTAATTTCAACATCCGATTGGAATGCAGTTCAACAGGACAGTAAATAAAACTAATGTGAAATAATTTTTGAAAAACTTATTAAATTTAATCATTAACTATCCACCCTTTTATCATGATGCAAAACTTGTTCAGCTGATATCGATATATTTTATAAGGCATGTGAATATTGTTATTAATATTCCAAGATGTTATGTTCTAAAGAACTGGTTCTTATCAAATTAGTTTCCATGATAAAGTGAATTCATTAAGCTACCAGCCTTCACACTAGTTTAAAACCTCATAGTAGTCTCTACTCTTACCTTTAAAGAGAGTTTAGGTTTACTAAAGAGAGTTTGAAACAGAGCACTAGTATTTAACGATAGAATTACGACCCAACGGATCAATGCTTTTCAATGCCATAAAATGTATACGATATAGCGATATAGTTTCAGAATAACTGATACATGCTCATTCTTACTAATAAATTTTCGGGAAAATTTCATTACATCGTCAATACGACTCATATATTGACGATATTTAAGCATTACTATAAGAAAAACTTTGTTAGCTTTATTTACTCACACGATTTTTTTTTAAAATGAACGACTTGTGTAATGTTAGTTTCAATATTAAGGTACAATAAGAACATTCTATTCAGTCTGCTTTAGGTTTCTTTATCGAAGACACTTCTGTCTCTATATTTAACCGAAGTATTTGAAATGAAAAACGATCCCAACATAATTCAGAGAAGAAAATTTACCTTTCGACGAATCATTTTTACTGGCTGTACAATCGTATTTATAATAATAAACAAAGAAAGTTTATTCCAGATTAGAACTTATCATGGAGGAACATTGGAAATCTGGGAGCGCTGGATAGCTGTTTCGTCGTAGTATGGGACTCCTTAGAAATATTCACCCATGACCCCACCAGGGACTGAACCCAAGACCTTCAGGTTCCGTAGTCAACACGTTACCATCGTGCTACTGGATCGGGATCTAATGGTCCATATTTCCAACCTGAGATCGATTAATAAATCTCCACAAACCTCCAGAATGAAATGAGTTTATTATTAGGTAACAGGTCAGTATTAGGTCATCAAAAACCAAATGTCCTAGGGTGGAATAGTGAGTCATTTGTAAAGTTAGAAAGAGACTGCATATTCACAGGGCGTATAAGGAAAACATGCAGTCGGTCATGATGATGACTTGTAGGCTAAAAACAATAATACTAATCATTATAATTAATATTTGGAGTGAAAGATTTCGAGAATTTTGATCGGGAATTGGAACTAAAATGTTAATACGTAAGAGAGTAAACCATAAAGTAAAAACCATAACAATAATCAGTCAATAAGGGTAATCTGAATATTAAAACAATAAGAAAACTCACAGAAGGATTATCACCCCAGTAAAATAATAGAATGGAAGCACTTTGTCTGTTTGCAGAACTCAGGCATTCATTACTTGATTGCCGACGCCTCTGTTATACATTGGTGACGAATCCACACTCTTTTTGAGCCGCGAACAAATAAAGGCAAGGAAAGTAAGTTACAAATTGATGAGTTATGTATGTCACAGGAAGCGTGTGGTTTGATAGTACTTCTTGACTGAACACACTATGGAACTCAATGTATTTATGAGGTACACGGAAGAGGATGTGGATTAGTTTTGTGTGACCACATAGCACAAGGAACATCTGTTGAGGCCGGTTACACTGCCTTTCGAGAGATTTCGACCTGGAATTCATCACTTCATGTGTATCCAGTAATAAGACTTTGTCCACGGACTCCAACACAGCCCAAGATTTGGGCGCCACGATGGTAACAGCTTTTAATGTTGCCACTATGCAACAAACCTTATTGGCATAGTAAGGTCCCGCAGAGCATCCTTTCAGTCCGTGTTTCTCATTTTGCCACTGCGATAGGCAAGCCCGATCAACAAGTCAAGTTAGCAGCTGTCAAAAGAAAGACATGTCATAAATGTGCTTGTGTTTCACTTTGAAAAAGTCAATCTGCTTGCAGGTGACTCCTTAGTCAGCGAGTTCTTGTTGGGTGAAGGAACTGGTAAGATGCAGAGAGTTTAGGATACTCAGAGTTAGAGTTCAGGAATTGTTGCAAACTGCTTCCTAACTTCTTAATGCAAGTTGTTGCATCAGGACTGATCAGAGCTGATACTTTGTCTGACAATAAACGTAAAATGGGTGGAGGGCATTGAGCATAACTACTAAATCTTTTGAATCCTGGCGCGTCAGTGGTCGATAGAATATCGGTACGAATAGACGTTTGGTTGGTTTTCAGCAGCTTGAGCCAAACAAAGAATCACCAAGATATCCGATTCCCAAAAGACGGTCGACTATCCTGTACAACAGTTCATTCTGCTCTACTACATGACTGCAAAAAATGGATGTACAATTTGGAGGACATAGAAAGCTCCGGCTATTAGACAACCGCTACTTCAATAACATTGCTGATATGTTGTGGAACTGCTAAATGAGGGACATAAAGGCTAGGAGTAGGACATCAGGTAAAAGATATAAGTTACTGATGGGGTTGTACGCCTTCGTCGCCTGTAATTCCTTAGATGTTACACATACCTAGTCACTATCTATACTGATACTCAAGTAGGGTGAGAGTGAAAAAAGTTCAAAGGTGGTCAAATCAGAATGCAGTACAAGTTCATTAATCCTCTGGTTATCGATCTAAACTGCTGAGAGATAATATAGACCCTTAATGTTGGGATCTATGTGACAACCAAAATCAGTGGTAGGGAACTCCAAACGATACGGCTCAGAATCGATGAGTAAAATGTTTATCTTGAATTTATTTGCCATTTCATCACTTATTTCAATTCCTACTCTGTTCGTCTTACATCTAATAAATGCTTTGGATTACATCATTTGCATGATTTGTTATAATAGCGCTACCACCAACAGGTGATACTCCAAAGGTAAGGGTGATCACAACAATAATCACCAATTATTCGCCTTCAAGAATCGCTTCCTAGTTATACGGCAGGCTAGAACACGACCATATTGACAACTTGACATTAAATCTTTCAGTAATTAGACTACCTAACAGAGAAAACATTAGTTAGTAATATGAGGTCAGTTTAAAGTATTCCACGGTTGAATGTTACAATTCTAGGGTAACTTACAGCTTGTTAGTCTAAAAATGTGGAGGATTTTCATCGAGAAAGAGTGGTAGTAGTTTCTTTTTTTTTCTCAGCGTCTTACTTTTAGGTTAACTTAGGCAAGAACCTATTATATTTTACCGCAGTTACGAGATTTTGAAAAACGGTATTCCTTGAGTGCTCTTTACATTTTCATAAACCCCACAAAAAAGCCTTAGTTACAAAATAATATACGGCAATCAGAGGGAGAAATGTTTCTTTACCAAGAAACAATGCCCTTTTGTACAAAGCTCCCTACTTGGATTCACTGCCCTAAACTTTCACATCATGAAGAAAAACAGGACTTCGTAGAGAGAGTCAGAGCTAACAACTCACTAAGTAAACTATACTTAGTTTAGGACTTATGTCAAACAGCTTTCTTTAATCTTTGAAAAGATACGACTTTTGACGTACCAATATGTATTCCTGGGTCCACATGATCCACCATCGATTGTGTTTGGTCTTACTAGCCCTAATTAGCTAAGTTAGATGTAGAAGATTGAATAAAGACAATTCAATGATTTCAATAGCTGTTTAACGCAACTTATGATCACAAGTAAAGTAGAAAAGGGAAAGAAATTAACTTAAATTGACAAGACCACGACAAAAAACAGTAGTTGTTGATTTAGGTGATATGAGTAGTTGTACGATTTTCGGCAGTGTTGACCAAAGATAAAGAAAAGTAACAGTGCGTTACCAACTGTGTTTAACAAAAAAAGGAGATGTAATTCATTGACTTAGGAGCTCAACTCTCAAGTAATGGGTCTCGGGTTTGAACCCTATTTCAATTACCTCGGCTTGGACAACGAAGAAGTATGAAAAGCCCTCATACGACAAGTGTGGCCCATTGACTAGAACACAAGTACCTAACAGTTTGAGCTACATCATTATGTTGGATGAAAAAAACCACTCATGTGACATCCCTTACACTAGAATTGCACTCTTTAACTAAAACAAGCATTCTAATCCGAACTAAAGACCAACGTGATAAAACACCACAATTTCTAAAACACTTACACAAATAAACGGAGGTTTGAATCTAATTTCAGCCCAGTTTTTAGATAATTAAATGAATGATATAAAACGTTAATTTCAGGATTTTTCAACAAAAGACGACCAATCAAAACTCGATGATCATATATGTTTCCTTCATTTTCACCAACTACGATAAGAATTGATACCTTTGTTGTCACCAATTTCCTTTTGAAACAATCTTCGACATACATACGACAAGCGAAGAGTAAAGCTTCAGAAAATCTATCAGCAGAAAAGCAATCTGGTACCTGTATGTGACATCAAATGGAGAAATAAAATGCTTAGTAAATAAAACTCACATCATTTAAAATGGAATGAACACTTAGATGAAACAAACAAGTAACCATGGATTTATATATTACCATAGTGGCCAAGTTCTGCTTTAACACTAATTTCTCTCCATGTCTGCAGTCAGTGCTAATCAGAATAAAGTTGTAGTCAGCTTTCAGTGATATATGTCCTTCACATCGTCCGAACTTCAATCGGTGGGCCTATAGGCGAAGAATACGAAAAGGTAACAGCAGGTGTCTCAATTCTTTCTACCTTCTGCAGATACGTCCAGGCCGACGGCAAACACACAGTTGTCAACTTGTATCTGATCAAACAATGCACTTTCTGCTCCAGAAATTAATGCTATACCTAAACCAATGAGTCCAACAAAGACAACCATCGAATCTCTGTAGATTCATAAGGTAAACTTCGCAGATTCACCTCACTGGTCAGAAACACACCACATGTACATGGACTGAGATTTCAGTTTTAAACTCCCCAAATAGTCCAACATTTGGGTACTATGGGGGTAACAGCTTTTAGTATTGCCACTGCCCAGCAAACCTTTTTGGCCTAAAAGAGCATCGTTCCAGTCAGCATAGATGGTTTCAATGTGATCAGATAGCTCAAACAACAAGCCAAAGTAATAGTTATCGATGGGACACTCTGACTATGTCATATTCTGGGTGTCTCTCCCCCTTCTTCAACCAATTTCAGTGTTGGCAAACAGTGTAAGCTATAGGAGCCAATGAGATGATATTTTTAAGGCATTTCTAATTCACCGTAGACGTTGTTTCAAGCTGACTTTATAGAATTAATGAAGATCTTCATCAGATTAAGACACAGGACTTCACGAATACCTACGTAACGTTTCCATCTGATGCCAGTTACATTTAGGAAATGAAAGTATTATGGAGTCTTCAAGCATATTTAGCTCAGAAATGTCAGGTTTCTTAAACGTTGAGAATTGTTTGCGCAGGCAAGTTGTGCGCCTGAGTCTTCACAGCCAAGTTGACGTCGCAACGACACTTGAGGTAAAGCAGATTGACAATGGTCACACTGACTTTCGACATACAGTTGAAAATTTGATAGGTCACGCCTCCATCGGCACTCACACATACAAATGCTTCAGATACGTCAAATGGTTCACCCGTAAGGGTGAGGGCAGTCACAGGCTTTATCAATCTCTAAAAGTATGCTGCAGCTCGTCAGTGTAAGGGACATGTTGCTCTTACGGACAGTGACCGTCAAATGATTTAGTGTGAAATGAGAAAGTTGTATTTTGTTGTATAGCAACAGTGTCATTCACGGAAATAAGGTCAGAAAATCTTACATGTGATAGACGATTACTCCATTGGATCTTTCTCGAGACTGTTGTCAATGACAAAGTTAAAAAGGAAAACCTTGTTTAACCCTCACTGCTAGTTAAAGAAAGCGGTGTAAGTGTATACACTTATTTCACTCAGCTTTATCATGTAACATCCCAGATGCTAACAACTACTTCGCACAGACCATTTCATAGCATAGCACTTGAGAACAAATCGAAGGAACTCATTATCAAAAGACAAAACGATTGTTGACCTAAAATAAGAGTGGGGTCTTTTAAGCACTTGATGGTGAACTTGTGATCTACGCATTAAAAACTTGACATTGGTCACATTTTCCCACGCATAGTTAATCCTACAAAACAAGACAGCATTCAAGGTTTCCGATGCAACAGGTAACAAACTGGTACGCCAATAACTGTCTACGTTAAGTAGGCTATTTTTGAAGAACAGCACAGAAACGGTTTCCCCCAACAGCGATAGGACACTCTAAGTTTTCGGTAGCTTCCCAAACAATCAAGTAATTTCGTTGATTGCAGTCCCACTTCTGTCCTCGAAAACAGAAATGGTGACTTGTCCGGAACAGATATTTCATGAAGTTTCAGTATTTAATGCGGTCAGTGTTTATCTATACCTTATGGCTTAACGGTTTGAAATCCAATGTGATATGCAAAAATCTGTAGAAGATTACCAATACCTAACCTGAGCATTCAAGTCCTCAGCAAGCAACACTACCACCTCATACTTCGATAAGGCCACTTATTATCATTATTATCACTACTATTGTTAGGGAACGCAAACTTGGTACAACATAGGCACCAAGGGGTGCACTATTAAAAAATAAGCAAATAACAATATGAAGATATAGGAAACAGAAAAAGGAATAGAAACAATAAAAAAGCGGGGTATTACAGAAGTAGTGTCAAAGATACAATTCATGACTTTCATTTTACTTCTCAGCAATGGAACAAACAAGAAACCTGCAGCATGATAGCCACTGGTTTTGAGTCTGAGTCATACCGGTTACTGTCTCAAGCCACTGAGTTGCATAACATCTCAGAATACATCCAAGAAGTCACTGATGCTAACACGACAAAACTATACTTTATCGCAAGGTGTTAAGTCATACATTGGCCACATCTACGCTTCTTCCAACCAGTTCCATCCCAAGGCAAGCGAGCAGTAAGCGGTTTGGGAGCCAGTGGAATGACATGCACAACACATCTGAGCTACCGAAGCCGCTGTTTTACGGCGACATCTAATGAATAACGGTGTCCATCACGCCCAAATACACCCCACCCCCCTCCTAACGTCGAAATCATTTGCATGGCGTTTTCATCGGATTCAAGTGATTTCACCGAAACACCGGTGGCCAGACACAGAGTAGTCGGAAATTCTCAGATTAGAGAGGTCAGGGATCACAGATGTAGAGGAGAGCTGCTCACAATGATATGCTGCATACCTGATCTTTTAAGTCAGGACCACCCGAAAGGCAACCTAGATTACTACATGCCACAGTGGTTTTGATATATGGTTGGAAACCTTATCAGTTATACCTCTATCAGCACTCAGACAACTACCAAAGTACACAAACTCTTCTAAAACTTTCGGCGATTCATCACCAGGGGTGAATTTAGATACAGATTACTACCAATCTTGTACTTTGATGGCGCAAAGCACGAATCACACTTGTGGACACTTATCATTAGCTGGTCGAGTGAGAAAGTGGAGGATACAAAAAGGCTTCAGGTGTTTGACCACCGTTGCCTTCGTAATATAGGACGTATTCCGTGGTGTCACCACATGAGTAATGCAGAAGTTAGGTGTAGAGTTTTGGGGAGAAGAGGTAAGTCAGTCGACGAGGTTGTGAACCTTCATCGACTGAGATGGTTGGGACACGTACTACGTATGCCTAGTCACCGATTGCCTCGTCACACAATGTTGGCTGAGGTGGGTTCAGGCTGGAAAAAGGCCCGAGGTGGCCAGACTAAAACATGGCACCAATGTATGAAGTCTCTGACTGTTGGTTTAAGCCATGTAGGACGATGCAGACTAGGTGGTTGGGGTCCACGGGACAAGAGGAGCCAGTGGTTGGAGACCCTAGGTGATATGGCTCAGAACCGAAGTCAGTGGCGCAGATGTATACACACATTATCCTCATCTTAACAACGCTATACCGAATCTCACTATTTTGTCACTCCTCTTTCCTTTCTTCTCGTACTTTATATTTCTTTTGCCTGCATTCACTTATCTTCATCCTTCACCTCACTACCTTTTTACTTGATGAGCTGATATGAGGTGTGGCAACTCGGACCGTTACGCAGTAATGCCTGGTCCTATGTTGATAATGATGATGATGAGTGAGATCCGAGTAACCTGTTTATTGTCACACTGTGGAACAATACCCGCATACCTGAGGTCGAAACTTCTTTCATCTGGTGACAGGTATGCAACACTATTAATGTTAACAAACTTTTCAGGGGCAACCCTCTCTAGCTGACGATTCCAGAGTACATCCTTGTCGAACGAATCAAATACAGTCCTTATATCGAGGAACACAACGATCCTTGGCATACAATACGTGTGATAGTATTCGAGCATCTGGTGGAGGGTGAACACGTGATCAATGCACCCAGAATCTGAATGAAGTCCCGGCTGCCTCTCGTGAATCAGTTTTTCACGCGTAGAGCCAATGAAGTATAATAGCATCCAATACTTTAGATAGTACTGGTAGCAGACTAACAACACGGATTATTATCACATATATTACGTAGACTCTTTTGGAAGATGGATACAACGATAGGTTCATTACAGTTAAGGAAAATTCTCAGTCTGCTACATTTTCCCAAATAATCTAGTCAGTTCCCTGACTACTTTCTTATTTCCATACCTAAAAGAAACTGAAGGTAAGTTGTCTGAGCTGCGCCTCATGGCGCATTGTGACTTGAAGGTCCTCAAAGACCGTTTCTTCGTTAGTGGGTCGGACAACTCGATCCAGCGTCTATGGATCAGAAGGTTGTCTATTTTGCAAGTCGACCCACTCACACCAGACTCCGTGCTGCTGGTGGCTCTGTTGAGCTGGAACAAGTTCTGACTATTACCAGATGCACCCGCTGCTTCCACCTCACTCAAGGATTCCGACCATCAAGCCTTGCGGTTCATACCCAAATACTGCTCGATTTATTGCGTAAAGAACTTATGCACATCATGGCATTTGTCATATCCTGGCATACGTGGACGAGAGTTAAGAAGCTGTAAGGAAATCACAGAGACTCAGAGTTCATAGTCGAAACGTTCTTCATAGCCAAAAGCAACATTATTCGTCATTTGCATGCAGACTATTAAGTGCGGCTGATGCTTATATATATATATATATATATATATATATATATATATATATATATATATATATATATATATATATATATAGCAATAACGATGGTATAAACCAGTTAACTTTTTGAGATATTGGTGAAGAAAAACTGAAGCAGGGTGCTTAAAGTATTCACAGGGGCTTTAAGCTGTACATGATTTGAGAGCTAAGGTATAAACCAGATTCTTAGACTGGAATAGAGGTTGCCTTCAGGAACCATTTGTGAGCCTTTAACTTGGTCTATTCCACACGGCAGTGTAGAAACGTCAGGTGCTGCAATTCCATAGCAACAAGAGTAAAACTTAGGTTGGTAAATCAACTGTTCATTTTGGACACCATAGCTTATGTGCACATTTGGTCTTTAACTCAGTTTTTCAGTTTCTGCAGACGATTTCTCAGTATTCACCAAAAAGTGTGGCAAGCACTTGACATTCCTTTACTGAAAAGTTCCTGTCGATTTTAGGGAGTAGGACTACCAGACATTAGAACCAGGAAGTTTCTGGTCTTACCACTCTTACTTTTTATTTGACTCATTAAAATCCCACCGGCATAAGACTCCAGAACAGATATTCTGGCTCAGTACGTATAACCCATCAACCAAGGTGCAGAACACACCAGTAATCCTATGAATTATTCATTTGATTTGAAATAATACGATGGATACTGTGAAGCACTATTCTGAAATAATAACCAACTTAAGCTTAAAAAATTGAGCATCCCAGCAACCAAATGAATGTTCATGAGCAGAATTCATTGCGTAACGGTTGGTGGTACTACCAGTATGCTCAAACCTCGATAGATTGAGCGACATTCGAACACGGGACCCAGTAGCTGAAAGTCAACTGTCTAAACCAATCAGTTTCAGGTCCAAAAATATGCCAATCACTTCAAAGTGCTATCAAGATTGTCACAATGAAACCGATGTAAGTGAAATATGATAACTCTTAGTGAAAAAATGATTAGAAGTAGTGCAAAACTAACAAACCCAGTTAGCAGTTCAATAAGATCAAAACTACGAATAAAATCTATTTAGGACCCTTAGGAAGAATCAACTCTTTAGGGTTCGAGCAGCCAGGAAGTACCTACACTACTCACATCTGTCAGTATTTAAGTCCTGCTTATTCACTACCAACCTTTTACGTTATTATCTTGTAGATTTCCTTTACAATTTCTTGCCAACAGCTCTACATTTTCAATTCCTTTTACCTTCACAGCCCGTTATAATAACTCAAGTTTATCGACTAGCATTCCCGGTCTTCCGAAGCCACGCCTCGAACAACACAAGAGAGCTTTCAAGATGTGCAAACTTTATCATACCAAACAAGTCTCGATGAGCAAAACCTCTGGCATCACCAGATATCTATGTTAATTATGTTGTCAAACACATACAGGAACCCAGTATGGTTAGTTAACTGACCTTGTATGGTAAATGTGATAGATTTTCGACTGACCCTTTGAATAGCTGGAGACCCCCACTAGTTGTTGCAGTCTCGCAAGTGGAGGTAAAGCGTTAATTTCAAAGACAGAAAGTGCATTGTTCTGCTGGATAAAAGGTAATAACCATCAGTGCATTATCCAGCAGAATAACGCAATGGAGGTTGAGAAGAATAATGACATACCGTTATCTTTTTGTTACCCCCTGCTTACGCACTACCTAAATGAAAACCATATGGAGTGGACGGTGAGTTTCGCTAAAAGCTGTATAACTTTCTACCGAAACAAAAAATTTCAGAAGCGACGTCAGAGCGCAAGGAGGTGGTTCAAGTCAAACAGAAAGGTACTTAGCTGGTACCTACAAAATTCTAGACCAGTGAACATACAGCGATGATCGTCCGCAACAGCTCTGTGCTGAGATAATCACCTACTTCTAGTTAGTATGAATTTCAAAAACTAACAGAGATACCATATGATGTCCCAGCAACCAATCTTATCTCAACTGAACGGTGGACTCAGATAAACTATATCACAATCAGTCACTAACGGACTATGTGCATGCGTTTAGACAGTGGCCGTGCGTTGATTTGATCACACGTACACCTTCGCCTAAAATAATGTAGGAAGACAGCTACTGCAAGACCATTCTCAGATCAGCTCGAAGATAACGAGGATAAAACTGCTTCTAAAGAGGAACTGGTTATACTATTACCTGAATATGATAATGTTGATCATTCTGTAGAAACTTGGCACCAACTTCAGTTCACCATGAAAACAGCAGCTAAGATCACAAATGAACTTCAATAGAAGCCAACAAAGACCCAGTGGGTCTCACCATTTTATTCGAACCTATGAATGCGAATCCATGCATTCCTTTCAGTCATATAAACCTATCACAAACGTGCGCATCTGTCTCCCACCCCTCCTCTGACTTTGCAGAATTCGATCTTTCCACAAGAAACTGTTCACTTTATTCTACTATATGACTGTGAAACAGCTGTTTAGGTTGGAGGATATGAGGTTTCAGCTTTTAAACAACCACTACCTTGATAGCAATGCATATATGTTGTGGAAGCGTCACTTAAGGAGCATACAGGTTAATCTCAAAGCCTTAGGTGATAGACACACGTCACTTGATGAGGATGTAGACCCTTATCGACCGGGATTGCTTGAAATTTTGCTACACATACCTAGTCATTACCCGCCTTTACGCACAATATTTGTTTAGGTAGGTTTAGTTACGATAAAAGCGAAAAATAGTGGTGCCAGAACGTGGAATTGCATTGTAAAATCTTTGACTATTGTTCAAAGTCGCTTAGAGGTAATGTAGGCTTCTAGGTTGGCCTTATATGACAACGGAAACTGGTAAGAGGATACTCCAAGTGATAAGGTTTAGAATCTACCTCAGTGGTGTAGATCGATTCACAGCTTATCCACACACTTCATTCCATACAATATGTCATCACTTACTTTAGCCGCTCTTCTGTTCGTCTTATGGTTTCCAACTATTTTTAATTATATTACTTGCGTTCATTTTTCTTTATTCTTGTTGCCTTGTATTTTGATGAGTGGCAACTTGGACTATTATGCAGTAATCCAAGTTCCCATGAGGATAACTGACTCACTGATTTCGTGTGCAATTGTACTACCCATTTTTTAGGATTGAATTTGTGCAGACATTAAAAATGCAACGAAATCCGCTGGTGATATTTATTTCCTCAATGGTTTAGAAGCTAAATGCACCATTGTTACAAAGATACAAACGAATTCCGGATGGTTGCACATAGAGCTACAAATAGGATAATTACATAAGTCGCTTAAGACTTCGATATTTAAGCATTAATTCCTGTATTTAAATTTCTTTTCATCTACTTCGACACGGGCTAACTGGTACCATGACAAGCCCTTATACAATAAGTGTAGCTAATAACTAAGTATATATGTTTCTGGCAGGTTAAACTAGATCATTTTATTACAAGGTAGGGACATGAGGAATGTTTTTTCTCAAGAAAGACAACAGTTAGTGGCTGAAACCTTTTTCAACGAAGAATTTAGATGAACTATTATCCTGAATATCTGAGATAGCTGTGGCTTGGAAGACATTAACTGATACTGGGAGATGAGCACCGGGGCGGGAACCTGGTGGCCGTTGGTTTGAATCATGCAGCGGCCCAAATTTTCATTTCACTTTTAATTATTATTCAGCATCAAGTCAGATGAACCTTCTTTTATCTGGGAAGGAAAAAACACTTTATAATTCGGCGGTGAATGAAACATTTATGACACTAAATAGTATTACCTTCAACTTACACGAACATTTATATCTTTGAACAACCCATGAAGAGACAGTGCAATCCGGTGCTGAGGAATGAGACATTGTATCAGACCACAGAAACTACACGCAATCATATTGAATTCAACTTGACGAAGAGATAAGCCATCCCATACATGTTCATCAGATTCAACCTCATATCTTGCAGCAACTCTCGTGCTGCCTAGCCGATTTGCAAGAAACTCTCGTTTTTCATCACATAAATCTTCTTCTAGATGAAGCATGTAATCAGATCGATTAAGTCCTAAAACTAAATCCTGTGAAGATAGAATCAAAAACACCATACACAGCGAAAGCCTTCTAATCCAAAAAAAAACGATGAAAGGAAAATATGTGATAAAAAAATAATAGTAAGTTAAAACAACGTACTAGGCAGAAAGAGATTATTTGAAACGTGTGATAGATATATTAGCACTACACACTTTGGGATAGTCTGGTCACACACACATATACCTGTCGAGTAATTTGTGTAAAATTGAGAAAGATTAATAAAACCAATGAGATAATTAGGAAAGATAATAAGAGCAGACCGAAAACAAGAGAGGAAAAACAGGTCAGATCACCACCACCAGTAGTATGAAAGGTTGAACTCAATACTATCAGGGTAGGTTTAGTGTAAGTACAAATTGTTTTTGAATACATAAAAGGAGGTTTGATTTATGGATAGCAAGTCCGATAAATCTAAGTATTCGTCTTTGACCATATCTACACAATACAGAAAAGGTTGTCTTGATATCAATCTTACGACCTGTTTCTACTGTGTTTCGCAATCGATACGGATGTTTTTCACCTGCACTTATCAAACTATTAGAGGTCATTTGTTTCGATAGCCACTAAGACATATGTCCAATTATTCTTAACTGCATGACAGCTTTTATATAAATTATTCGACAAGTTCATGTGGTCAGTTTAGTCAAAATGTATAGCGCCAATAAATCATATGTGATTTCGACTGAACTATTTCTTAGATTATGTAAATAAACGAAGTACAGTAGAAATTATAAGTTTTCCTGTGTGGATATGAGAACTCTAGTTTCAGCAAATACTAATCACGAATACATTATAATGATAATTAATTTTACAGTTCAAGAACAGTCCATATACTTTTCATATCTTAATTACATAACACGACCACTGAGTAGCAGATCATTCCCTAAGAAATTGAATGTAGTTCACCAGTGATGTACACGTGTCGTCAGCTTTGAAGTAAACCTACGGTAAATCCTGACACAAACCCATGCTTTCGAATCCAAAATTCTCCTTACTATGGATTTCAAGGAAGGAAAAAGTATCACAACCTAGCAAAGTGAATATTCGAACGACACACAAAAACACGACTGAAACCAACACGTCACCTTGGAGCTATCTATTACCAAAGAATACGTACAAGACGGCAGAAGCCAAGTGAACCCATCATCACACTGAGAAAAATGAGAAGTTAATAGTCACTGTCAGCGAGGAAAGACTATACTTTCCCTTATCAAAAAATATACTAATGTCTCAACCAGGTACAGAAATTTTATTTCGTCTGAATTAGGCAGTCCATGTCCTATCAAGCTCTGCAGCTTAGTTTTTTCATATCTCTGGTCCAGCTATGTCTGTACAATTTTCATGTTTGATGCTACCTTCAGAGTTGGAGGTCACTGGTCTACGTACTGGGTTTAACTAAAAAGTGCCATATAGACAGGTGAGGTAGTAGAAAAAGCTATAAGGATGCCTTCACATACGCCCCAAGTAGACAATACAATCCTCGGTAGGCTTGTCAATGATTAGGTGATATCTGTCGGCGTAAGTTGCTGGTGCAATGATTGGGTACCATTTCACACAAGCTACCCATGTTTCCCTAAATTATTTAAGCTAAGCACCCGTGCGAGACTTACTGATATACACTACTATTTCATCATCATCCAAAACGAAACCTACCCTATCTAGAACTACTGGTACGTGTAAACGCAAATGTTTCTGTGGCAAATTACTAGTTAGAGACAATTCGGTTTAGGAGTTAACATACTCTACGGTTGTTTTAGTATCAAAATGGAAGACTGACATTACTCCTACAAGAGTTTCAAGTGTGCAAAACCAGGATCCTAACCACTGAGAGAGAATAGATGTTTTTTGTATGAAAACACCTGTCTGTAAAAAACATTCTGGTTCTTGGCATAGCTGGCTAACACATTTTGACAAAAGCACCATGCAACCAAGTATTTCCACTAGATAACGGCACTTACCTGCATGACAGCACTACATCTGACGCGTAGATAGATATCCCACAGAGACCGAAGATAGGAATCTACGCATAAGACACTACCAATCTAACAATGAACACAAACCCACGGCTTTAACACTGCCTCCAGGAATTCGTGATCCATGGCAGCCTTGTGATAGAGTAGATTGAAGTCACACTGAACTTCTTGTGCACGATAAAGTAGCGATTTCGGCATGGGAGATGGCAACAATGTACAAGACAATATGAAAGGATTGCCATCCACTTGCTTGAGAATGCCTAAAAGAGATAAGAGCTATGTACAATCCTACCATTTGACACAGCAAATTCTGCGGCCAACCTGTATAAGCTCATTCCCAATGAGTAGACTTCAGAACTTCAAACAATACACTGCTTCTACTTTTCGCGAAGGCAACCTTCAGAATGAAAAGCCGCGAAAAACGTCAAAATTTTTCCTATTACATTGTGCATGTAAACAACAGATTCCTTACATTAGCTCTAGGTTTATTGTATATACGTGTCCATGCCGTTGGGGCTGTATGCATGACATGCATCATGTTTACATATAACCTGCAGGTTTCAGTATTAAACAAAACCCATTACTGACTGCCCAGTTTTGAAGCTGGTTCAAATGGTTCATATAGTTGTTGACGGAATAGAAGCTTTCGCTTAACTAACTTCCATGTCCACAATCCGTGGATCACTACTTCTTATGGTTGTTGACCTGCGTACAAGTAAAGAAAGAGGAAAAAGTGGCGGTTAAAATGTGAAAATTCAATTAGTTCTGGACAGATCCCAGTCACATGTCAAGTGGCTACCCATTCAGCGTTTGAAGGATTCGGACGAAGCAGCGTGGATTAAATCTGCAGGAAGAGAGTTTCGGGGCTTAAAAACTCTTAGGAAACAAAAGTCGTGCCTGAAATTTGACCTACTACGTTCTAGACTTAGTTTCTGTATGGGTCTTCCAAGATCAGTGCTGTAGCTAAGATTTAATGAGTGACGGAGTGGGTGGCCAGGCGTGCTCAGAAGTTCCTTGATCATTATTAATTCTCTTCTTAGCCTTCTGTATTCCAGAGCATATAGATCCAGCGCAACCAGCCTTTCTACGAGTGTTTTAGACCTAAGCCCTCGAACAGATTTTGTCCAGTGTCTCTGAATGCGTTCTAAGCCTAGTTTGTCCTTCTGGAGAGAAGGGGGGAGATTTCAAGGGACTGAGACTAAGGGACTCATCAGTTACGCCACAAGTTCCATACCACAGAGGCCATATACATGGGACGCATCGTGTTTTACGCGTATCACCTCGCAATTCTCAGGATCAAATGCAAGCCGGTTGTTGGTTGCCCAGTTGTGAAGGTAAATCTTCCTGTAGAGAAGCACTGTCTTCTTCATTTTCGATTTACATCCAGAGTTTCACGTAGCCAGCAGAATAAGTATTTCGGAAGAAACCTGTTGAAGCAAGTCGATTATGTATATAAGAAAATGGAGAGGCCCTAGTACTGAACCTAGTTGAACACCACTAGGACGTTCTGTTTCTTCGGACAGAGCAGCTCACTCGAAAACCGAATGAGCGGCCTTGTAAATATGAAGACGACCAGTCAATGGGTGGAGGTCGAATCCCGAGGAATTTCGATCTATCAATATGGCAGTCTTGATTAACACGATCGAACACTCTGGCAAAGTCTAGGTAGATAATACAAACTCGTCCTCGACGGTCAACAGCGCTAGTCCGCCTATCTACTACAGTGAGCAGATTGGTAATGCAGGAGTGCCCTTCTCGATATCCGCGTTGTTGGGGCGCAAAGGAGTTGATCTTTGTAAGGTAATCCCTCGGTCCATCGTGTATTAGTGATTCCATTACTTTGGAAGGAATGGATAGAAGTGTCGCCGATCTGTATTTCTTTGGATCGCTTCGTTGAGCCCCCTTGAAGATTAGCGTTGTGTCCCAGTTTTCAAGAGTCGGGTGCCGTCCCATGACTCGGAAAATTCCTGAACAACTCACTTAGAGGTTGAAGCTCCCTCCCGCAGTACCGCCGGATGGGTCTTGTCCGGTCTCGGAGAGGTGTCTCTGGTGAGCAGTAGCAGTTTGTACTGTGCTGGCCCAAAGCTTAGATAGACAGCCAAGAGTCCTACTTCGTCAGTAAGATATTCTAAAGCTCCTGAGTAGATGGATGACGGCGAAAAGATTTGCAGATACTGGTCGGCCGGGGCTCAACTGCTTCAGTGTCACTGCCTGTCAGTCCGTTCGCAACTAGTAGTTGAGTGACTCCCACTTTAGCCTGCTGGAATGAAGCAGCGCAACAGAACAGACTTCTCGGCTGCTGCAGCCGCCAATCGGCTCTCATTGCCTTCGCACATATGTTTCTTGTCTGTTTGAATTGTCTACAAGTACATCCGGTGCCAATCTTTTTGTGTTCAACCCAGTGGTGTCTCACTAACCTGATTAGTTTGCAAGTGTAATCCCCCATTACCTTAGGTAACTTGAAGCACTCCAATCTTGAAAGCGGAACAGATCGACTGATTGCATGCATGGTCGTGTCAAGTATGAATTTCCAATGGGTCTTCATACCCTGCCATATACGGATAACTTCCAAATCTGTCTGTTCCAGTGCGATTGGAAGGGCCGGTGTGTTAAGTTTTCCGAAGTTCTAATGATGTTCATCAAAAGGTCTGGTTACATTGATTTCGCTGACAATTTGGAAACCTGTAACAACGTGGTCACCCATGCCCAAAGGAGGAAGGGTTGCTATGTCGTCAGTCGGAAATTCTTCCTTTGTGAAGACGCAGTCTAAGCGAGATGGGTTAAAATCTCCCCTGCTCGCGTCGTTGTCCTCACATTTTCCGTAAGTCCGAGCCGCCCAATCGGATAGAAGAATCTGGCTTCATTGGAATCGTCATTCCCGCTAAACGTGTGACCTGCAAACTGAACTTTTGGTGGGTGAAAGTGGCCGAAATTTGGCATGTGTGCCCCAGTTTAAGAGAGCATCTGATTGCCTCTAGCATCTGGTCACTATGCTGTAAGTCAGCAGATGGCTTCCGAAAAATGACTCCCACCAAGCACTTAATAGTCTTGGATGGTTTTGTGGTGCCCCAGATGGGCTCTTCGAGGTATTCCAGATCTTGAATATGGAGCTGAGAGATAGGAGCCAACGTAAAGTGCGTCCCACCCCACACCAGCCTTCCTGTCTTTGAGAAACAGCATGGTATTAGCAACTCCCGGCTCCTGGTTTGACATGCCAGTAGAAACCTATGCCTCAGTGATACCAGTAAAGTGGGCATGAGTGTCCTCGCTTAGTTCCCACAGCTTGTCCAGTTTGTTTCGTAAACTTTGTTCATTAGTATAGATGCAACTCATGCTGCCTACTTGGAATGCAAAGCCCGTACCCTCTTCATTTTCCAGTTGGCAGGCTGACTTCTCGGGTGTGGGGGCTGGGAGTGAGCCTAAGTGCCGCCTACCAGTGTGATATTCCTCTCCCCTTGGGTTAAGTCTTCCTGTAGGAAACATTGTCTTCCTGACGTTTGATTTCCCTCCCCCTTGGCTCCACATCTGCGAAAAGAAGGACTGCGGAAGAAACCCATTGAAGCAAGTAGTTTCCTACGTTAGAAAAAGTAGAGGCCCTAGTACTGGACCTTGAGGCATGCCACAGGACACTCTTGTTTCATGAGATGTAGAAAAGCTCACTGAGACTCTAAATAAGAGACCTCGTGGATACAAAGACAACCAGCCAATGAGCGATGATGTAATCCCAACCTAATTTAATTTGTAAATAAGTTAGCCGTGGTTAACACGACCAAACGACCAAATAACAACAATTCGACTGCTGACAGTCAGCGGTACTGTTCCACTCATCTACTTGAGTGATCATGTTAGTAATGCATGAGTACCCTTTCCTAAACCCCTGCTGTTAGGGTGTGACAAGGTTGATCATGACAAAGTGGTCTTTGTCGCATATTAACGATTCCAGTACTGGAGTTGTGGAATGTTTTGGAATCGCTGGCAGTCAGCTGGCACGCATAAGGGACTTCCTTGTTGGAAGTCGGTGGAGGTTGGGGGACCGAAAGACAGTCCTGGGTATCCTGTTGTTTCTCCTGTAAAAAAATGAGCTGCCAAATATCACGAAATCTTCCATGGTCCTCTACACTGATGATGTAAAAATCTAGTGGGAAATTCAGAACGATGAGGATAAGCGTGCGCTTCGGGCAGACCTAAACAGCTTGCTTACCTGGCCAAAGAAGTGGCTGGTGCCTATCAGTGCAGCTAAACGTGTAAGCATGGACATTGAGAACAAACACAGCAACACCTACGATACTGGTGGGACTCCCCCACCGTCGGTACTGACCCACAGTGGCACAGGAACCACAGTGAGTTATGATTCATAAACGGCAACACATTGTTGATTGGTAGCTGCTCGGAGTTTTAGGATACTTTGGGCATTGCTCGGAGCGTCTACAAAGATAAGTGGTGACTTGTTCACCAACTTATATACATCCCTGGTTAGGTCTGAACTAGAAAACTGTACACAGGCGACCAGTCCTTGTCTGAAAGGTGGCGCAGACCTCCCGGGAAGAGTTCAGAGGGCGGCCACTCTAATGACCCCTGCGATGGCTGGCCTGACCTACGAAGATGGACCTGGGGAGCTGAACCTCTTCTCTTTATCTTATCACAGGCAGAGAGATGAGATCATGCTCTACAGGACTCTGTGGAGTGACTTTGGGCCTGATATATCTCCTCGTTTCCCTCTCACTGGGTCGGAACACCTGAGGAGACAGGCTGGAGGCTACAAAAGCAAAGGACTAACAGTAGATTACTGGCTGTCACATCGAGCAATTAACTCCTGGAACCGACCCCCAGAGGGGGGGCATCTGCATCATCAGTTGACTCGTTCAAGAGGGAGGTTGGACAAGCACATAGGTCTACTGAAAAAGGACTGATATAAGCTCTCAGCCTTCTGTCGTCGAACGGCAAACATGGACCTGAACAGATGAAAGCTCCATCGGCCTGTATTTCTTCGGTTGCTTTCGTTCAGCCGCCTTGGTAGTCAGAGTTGTTTGGCCCAACTTCCAGCGGTCAAGTACTTTCTTTGAATAACTGGAATCATTGAATAACTCATTTAAAGGTTCAGCCGAGATTAACGCTCCCTACCGCAGTTCCACCGCATGGATTTTTCTAGTCCCAGAGAGGAGTCCTTCATGGGCAGTAACAGTTTGCGCCGTTCTGGATAAGCACCCAAGTCAGTGACTGAGAGTTTGACTATGCTAATTAGATATTCGTAAACCCTAGAGTGGGTGCACAATGATGAAAACATTCGAAAACACTAGTCAGCTAGAAGCTCAGCTGTTTCAGCCTCACTGCCAGT